CATCCAGGTTTTGGGAAGGGATCTGGACACACAGAGGAACTTGGAAATAATGTCAGCTTACAGAGATGAAACTAGGGCTGGTCTCAAAGGCTTGCCTTCTCACCATCTTCCTCAGCAGGGAGGAATTCCTCTCCATGACCCTCCCTGGGATAGAAACAGCCCTTCTCCAGGTTGTGTTGGGCCTACTGCCATCAAGGATAATGGATTTGGTCAGGTTTCTTAGGATGAGAAAGGGCAGGATAATTCGGGTGGTGGTGTGCAGGCTTCCAAACTTTAACCAGAGTATCTGTTCCAAGACAAATGACGTTATAAAGCATTGCATCAAACCTCATATTGGTGTCTACTTATTGATCCATCTTTTGATTCGGCACTAAGGTGTTGCAGCTGCATGGCTGGCCTGGTGTTGCTGTCAGAACAGCATTGAGCATCCCATAGGCTCAATGCTAGAAGAGGTCAGAAGAGGATCAGCAAGCTGTGTTAGATTGGGTTGCTTTTTATTCTCTCTTCTCATCAACCCTGGGGATAACCTTCCAACAGTGGAAGGGGACGTGAACCACATCTCCCCGTGCTGAAGCCTTCCTTTGCAGAGTTTGGGAATGTGATTAACAGGAAAGCACTGAACTGCCAGGGAGTTTTTGTATGATGACACAGTTAATAATGTACTACAAATTTTATAGATGCTAAAGTTCAGGATGGTCTACACTGTGCACAGGAACAGGATTGACTGGGGTGGAAACTGGGGGAGTGGAGATGTCGTCAGCAACATTGGGCTCCCTCTGAGGACCACACAGAAATGATGCATCTTCCGGCAGATGTAGCTGGAGGTCCTTGCTCTTGCCAGTGGCTGCGGCCACTTCTCTGCAGCAAGGAGGAGGAGGCGGGATGGAGTGATCCCAGGGGCTGGAGCTGGCTTCCGGATCACCCACTGCTTGCATTGACTGGCTGCATAGATGTTGTTTGGTGAATAAGTGAGGAACCAGCAACAGGGATGCTGTAATAAATAGCGAATGTAGCCTAGATGCTGCCTTGGGATCTGCAGCTGAAAGCAAAGGTGCATCGCTGGAGAGGAATCTGGGGAAGATAACCACAATAATCCCATGGGATCCCATCACTTAAAGGTAAATGCAAGGAAACATGGAGGTACCAACACTTAAAGTGAGGGTGTTCCACAGCTTTGCTGCAGACCATGGAGCCCTGCCAGCCACATGGCAGCTGAAAGACTCCATGGTCCCGACCTGCAGCCTGAGGAGGAGGAAGGTCCCAGTACCCTAGGGTTGATGTAGCATGGGGTTTGCCATGGGGTGAATGGGGCTGCATCTCTCCCCTGTCCCCATCCCAGCTACTCTGCCCAAATGGACGGAAGGTTGAGCTCACAGGGCTTGGCCCTTTTCCTATCAGCCAGCAGGATCTGTGAGCGTGTTCCTGAAGGGAGCAGGCAGTGAGGGGGAGTTTGGATGGTTTGGGAAGGTTTCTGGCTTTTTCTTTTTTTCATTTTTTCTTTTTGTTTGTTTGTTTGGGGGAATTGTTTATTTGTTTGGTCTTAATGTTTTTTCTGTTTCCAGCTGGATCCTTGCCTGGATCCAGGCAGGGAATGGGGGGGGTTGTGGAATCAAAGGACCTTTGTGCTCCTCTCCCTTGCTGTGAAATGCAAACGTGTGCATGCTCTGCAAGTCTAGCAGAAGATTTTGGTTTTATTTTTTTCAAAAAGCTCCTGAATTGCCATTTTATTTCTTTAGAAATATGTAGCTATTTGCTGCTGTAACGAAGTGTAGTCTGATTAGATATATAGATATTTTTCAGTATGGAAAAAAACTGGCTTCTAGAAATGCTTTAAAACAGATAAAGACACTAAATTATGTGTGCCTTTTACTCTCAGAATTCATTACAGCATTTTCCTTTTTCGTTTCTTCCTGTGTCCAACACTGTAAGCGAAGTCTCCTACCCTGGATTGCATGTCTCAAACTGAGTTGGTTATCTCTGAGTCTTTGAAGATGGAATCTGTGGGATTCTGCATGTGCTTTAGTACAGAATGCCTACTTTGTTGATAAGGTTTTCTGCACTAAATGAGCCTACTCAAAATCCTTGGTTTGGGGGTCTTTTTGCCCCTTTATGTTGTCTGGTATCACATGGCTGCATGCTTCAAAGATGTCTGTACAGAGGTAAATACATGTGAAATATCAGTATTGCTGTAATGAGCTTTAAGGTTCATTATGGGAAAATCAGAGCTGGGTTTTGTCCCCTGATGTATTATTGTGCTTACCTTGGCTTTGAAACGCAGCGGTAAGGAAAACCCAATAAAACATATAAATCTGGTGTAATATTTTACCAGTTCATTTATCTAATCTATTAGAGAAGCTCTTCCCTGTGAGGGTGCTGAGGTCCTGGCACAGGGTGCCCAGAGGAGCTGTGGCTGCCCCATCCCTGGCAGTGTTCAAGGCCAGGTTGAACACAGGGGTTGGAGCAAGCTGCTCTAGTGGAAGGGGTCCCTACCCCTGGAACTGGAGGAGCTTCCAACCCAAACCATTGTACGAGTCTATGATCTTGCAGCCCAGCATGATTGTAAGATGGGAAGAACTTTAATTCATCAAGTGATCAGTGCGCAAGTCATTTGGCCTCCTCCTGCTCTAACACTGCCTCTGAACTGGAGACAACTGTGATCTTTACTCAAAGGTCCTGGCTGGAACTGGAAAATTGGGAGTTTCAACAAGGCTTACAAATCAAAGCAAACTGGTAGGAAATAGACTAATGTGCGGTGAGTGATGGAAAGCATTGCTGCAGTTCAAGAAACACCAACATGTCCTGTTTTGGGCTGTACTTGTGGGATGCTGAGAAGCATATGCTTCAAAGATGTGACTCTGCTTAATCCCCTGGAAACACATTCACATTTTTGTGATTTCATAAGCCGTGTTTCCCCGCTACCCCTGACAAGAAGGGCTATTGGAAGTGATAATTGTCATATATCTTGCTAACGGATGTTGTGTCTGAAGACGGTGACTCTGAGTAAAGATGTTTTTAAACAAGTTATTGTTTTCCCACAGTGGTTTTTTTGTCTTGCTGGTAGCTCAGAAGAAGTTAGCTGGATTAGCAGCGTGTCAGATAAAATCTGGGTGGGTTGCGGTAAGTCTGAGGGATTCTCACTCCTTGGGAAAAGGTCTAGCTCGGATTAAGTTGCTTACTTATATTTCTAATGCAAAGGCACTTGCAGTCCAGCCAAAACCGTGTAAACTTGTCACATTCTTTGCATCCCAGTGAGAGTAATTTGTAAAGGATAGTGCTGTTCTCAATGGTGTTTTTCTGAAACAGCACTTCTTCCACCATAAGATACCACAAAAAGCTGTTGGTGTTTGCATGAAACATCCTGTTTGTAGTCACTGACTCTGATGGAAAATGATTAAGTGAGAGCTGCTGACCTTCTGATGGCCAGTGATTTACAGCCCACCTGGATGGGGAGGAGATGGGAAAGGTCTTTAGAGAGATGAGCATAGAATATGGGATGAGCAGTTTTAAGGGAGGAGCCCTACAAGCACCCAAGTCTGGAAGTGGGTTGGAGTTGAATTTATCTTCTTTTTTAATTTTGCTTATTAATCAGAACACTCCACCCCTTTCCCCCAGGACATGTTGCTCTATGAAAGGATGGGAAAAGCATCTACTTCTTGCTATATCTAGTGCTTAAATGCCTGTTTTGCGTGTGGAGAAGAAGGGCTGAGACATGGGTCTCTTCTGTTTTTGGAAGGAATCTTGGAGACCCTTTGCCTAGGGATATGCTGTGGTCCACTGTCTGCTCTTGGAATAATTAGTCACTGCATACCACAGAGCATCTCAACGACTGCATGTGTTTGCTTTGAGAGTCATGTTATATGTGAGTTATAGCTGTAAGTTATAGCAGATGGTTTTATCCTTGTTGAATCATAGAATACTATTGCAATAAATACAACAAATAATTTGTGCCTGCAGAATGCCCCAAGGGTCCCACTAAAGCCCTTAATCATTGTCTGGGTCTTATTTTACCTCAATGCTAATATGACTTGCTGGTTTGGATAATTTCTGTTTTTTCTGGATTTATCTCCTCTGAAAAGATGGAGATTGTGTGCTTTAACTCCAACATTTCTGACTCAAAAATGAGGCAGAGTTGGGTTTTGAGGCTGGGGAGTGAGTATTCTGTTCCAAAAAGTTTCTCAGGAATCTGAAGGGGATTTTTCTCAGCAAATGTTTGTTTTTTCAGGGGTGAAATTAGGTGACCTATATTCTATCTAAGGGAAGCATGATAGATAGGACGGAAACCACATATAACTCTTGATCCTTTTTGGACTCTGACCGTTCCCAGAAGCAAGCGTGACTAATAGGTTTGCTGCAGGGCAAGCTGAATATTTTGTCAAAGTAAAAATAAAAAACAGAAGCCCAGACTTATGTGTGTGACATGAGTCATCTTCAGACTTCTGTAACTCTGTCCTGCTTTGTGGGATCAGACAGCAGCTCCCTGCTGAGCTCTGCTGCAAGGGGCACAATAGGGCATGGAAAGTCCTGCTTCAAAATAGCTCTGGGATGACTCAGCTTTGCTTGAGAACACTTTGACTCAGTGTTTGGGGTATCGGGATATGTTATCAAGATATTGGCACACAGAACAGAGGACTGGGCCACCTCTTTGTGACTTCAAGTGCTGTTTTTTGCAGCTGGGATTGCTGCCTGGTATAGCTACAGGCACCATGTGTGGCCTTCCACCTATTCAGGAGTTGGTGGTGGTGATGGAATGGCCAAAGTGAGCTGGGATGACAAAAGTATGATGGTAATTGTGCAGTGGGTCAGTGAAGCTTTAGCTCCACTGGGTAATAATAGGAATGTTAAGCAATGGGACAGGGCAGGGACGCAAGTGAGTGCTTGATGTGATTCTCTCTGTGAGTAGCAGTGTCTCTCATTGAGACAATGAAGAAGCACCTCTGATACCTTTAGTCACTTTTCAATAGTGTCCAGACTGAAAACACTGTTAGGTAACTGATCAGAGCTGGTAGGTAGCATGACATGTGATTCTAGAAGCCCTCAGCACTGGGAAACATTCAGGCTGTGCTGCTTTTAGCTTGAGAAGGGATTTCACACAAGCAGAACAAACATGGGTCTAAATGGAGCGTGACCCATCTGAGTTGGTGCTTTGAAGGAGCTGAAGTCATTCACACTTGCAGGTAGGAACCATGCGAAAAGCCAAAGGAGGGAAAGTGTCATATGATTTCCACCAAAAACCAGGCAGAAGTTGATGCCTTGGCCTGCGTTACGTTTGAGTCATTGAGTTTGGCTCCAAGAGAAATTAGTTGGACTTGCAATCGATGCAAACCAAAACTGGACGAAGGTACGAGGCAAACACTGAAAATTGGTGGATGAGCCAAGCTATGAAAAGGGTGGGCTGAATTTCCCCTATGAGGTAACTTCCCCCCATCAGGCACTTGGGACAGTGACCAGGAGGGCACTGATCTGTTGTGACACAATTGAAGTGTATTTAGTGAATGCAATTATATATTTTATTCTTTGAAGCAAAACCAGAATAAGATCCTTCCAACTACTCTGCTTGTGAAATGCGTCTCAGGGTAGATAAAAATGAAGCAGAAAAAATTCCAGTAGTTTTTGGTTGTATAACACTAAATGTAACGCTTATTTCTTGCCAAAAACCCTGATAAGACCTCTATATGTTTTTCTTTTTAATTAAAACTATGATTTTTATGTCCGTACAAAATATTTGTGCCATATTTTTCTTTTATGGAATATTATGTCATTTCAGAATTTGTTCCTTGTTCAGACACTGAATTCCCAGTGGGAGGGAAGTAAATCTTTTAAAGTGCATTCTCCAGTCAGCCCCTCCAATACTGCTTTGAGATATTAAGAGACCCAATGCCTGATAGTAAATATTTCTGGGTTTCTAAAATGCTGTGAGGATCCTGGATGCCTGTGCTGGATTAGTTGCTTATATTAATAGTTGCAAGAGAAACATAAATTCGATCTCTGATGCATATACATAAATGAAAGAGCTCCATACCTTCAAAAATGTTTTTCTCTGCAATAAAAGTAGCAGGATTATTTGTAGGGAGTTATTTGAGTTTCTTGTACTTTAAAGCAGGGCTACTGAGTTTTTGTTTTATTGATGCCTGCTGGGTCATTTCACCCAGGTCCATGTACCACCATGAGCTGGCAAGGGCTGCTTACAGCTTTCTTGGTGGCACATCCATTCCCTCTCCAGGAAATGAGAACAACAACAGGAAATGTGGAAACGGGTAGGACTTTGTGTGGACAGCCCTTAGACACTGGCTAGGTCTTGAGTGGAGTCTTCCACCAGAGCAGGGACACAAGGCAGGATGAACATAGTGCTGTCATGCAGAAAGCCCAATGGCAACTTCTGTGATGAATGGGCTCTTCTTGGTATGCTTCCCAAGGGACAGAAAAGATTGAAAAACCACTGGACATTGGTGAGAAGTTTGCGTTTCTTTGGAAAATGTAGGGAGGAAAAGGAGGTAGAGGAACAGGATGCTTTTGAAGATTGAAAAGCTGCTTGCTGGCTTGTTTGTTGTGTCTGCTTCAGAAAACTTTTGAATACACTTTTGAATTATCTGAAATGGCTGTTTTGGACAGCAATCCATACCTAGCCTGAACATTGATCCAGTTGGGGATTTACTGGAAGGAAGGCAGGGGCATGTAAGTCTCTCTTCAGTGGCTGCTGACCATGTCAAGTGTGCTGTATGTCTTGCCATGCAGTGGGGAAGAGACCAGCCCAGCTTTGCCTTTCCCATCAATTTTTTTAACTTCTATTTCCTATTGCCTTTCCCCATTTGCTTTGGGAAAAATATTGGGAAATGCCTTTCCAGGGCATGGCAGCCATGAAGCTCTCCTTCTTTGTTAATGGAGCTGAGCCCTGGGTTTGAAGAGGAGCACAATGGCATGGATTTAATGCGAGGTCTTTAGTGACTTTGCCTGTGGTTGAGCCACTCTCAAATTAAAGGGAACTTTGTGACTAGGTCTTGGGGACTTTAAGGCAATTACTGTCTGGTTAAAGATCATGCATCCCTTAGGGTGAAATCATCCACGTTGCCAGGGAGGGAAGGCAGAAAGCACTAAGAGTTTGTGAATGTGTATCTTGTAGATTCGTAGAAGAAAAATTATATTGAAGAGGGGCTTGTGTGTTAGTTCTCACTGCAGCCTGTACTTTGGAACCTTGTGGGGCTTGTGTGTTAGTCCTCACTTGGAGCCTTGTGGAGCTCTCCCTGAACCATGGATTTATTGCATTAACAGAATCTATTTTATGAAGAGATCCTGCTGGAAGCTGCACGTTGATAGAAGGTCCGAAGTGTGGTGGTGTCACATAGGTCTAAATTAGAACATGCTGCAAAATGTTTTAATAACTAAACCGGGCACTTATGTGCATTAATTCCAGCCAATTTGCTGAGAAATTGTGTCATGTGTAGAGCTGGCACGATCGAAGTCTCCTGACTTGCAATCATAAACCACTTTTAGCCTTTCCGTATTGGCTACACATGGTAGGAGGAAAATCCATTGTTTAACATCCACCTCTGTGCTTCAGGGCTGGAGCACAAAAGGTTCTTGGTTTCCCTCCCAGGAAAGGTGAACTCAGAGGTGAGTGCATTTCACACATTGTCTGAAGGGCACTTTTGAGCACGGCCTCAGGGATGCTGCTGGCAGGGGTCTGAAATCCTGCAGCAGATGAGCTGCTCTGGCTCTCCACACTCTCCCTCTCTGGCCCCCGCTGCCCTTTCTGCACGAGCTTTTTCCAAGGGAAAACTCATAAAACACTCACTCTTTCTTCCCTGTTACTTTGGTCTTCTCCCTCCTGGCTCTCTCCCCAGAACACACGTTATTCTGCTTCATTGTAAATGCTCTGTTTGCTGCCCTTAAGCCCCTGATGAGTTTCCATGTGGTCTCTCACCCTTTCTGCACTTCCAAGCTCACTGAAGGTGCTGGGTTCCTCTCCACTGGTTCCTTTTCTAAACTCTACCTTGTTTGGCTACCCTTGCATGCAGTTGTAAACTGTGCTTAATTGGGGATCTGTCCCTGGCCTCCAGATCTCTGCTGCGGCCATGCTTCTCTTCTGGCAGCTTCATCCTTCATCAATGTCTTTGTCACCATCCTCTGACTCTTGTTGTTCCTCCAATCTTTCTCAAGGCTCCTTTGGAGATTTTCTTTGTTCCCTTCTGGCCGTTTTTAGCCTTTCCTCATGCTGCTTCTCAAGTTGGGACAAAATTTCTGCAAGTACCCTTGAAGCCATTTCATCTTCCTCATTCAGGTTGCTAGACTGCATCTGGATTTAGGACAGTGCTAAGCAAACTGCCCAGTACTGTTTCATAGCTGCTTTTAGCCCTCTGAGTCCTATATTGCCTCTATATTTAATTAGTGAACTTCCCAGGTCAGGGACTGTCTCTCTATGCCTGTAAAGAGCAGTGTGCAACTCCTTCAGCTTCCTGGTTCCTTCAATACAGAAGGTTGCTCAACCCTTTGTGGAAGGTGTAGCTGCAACTAACAGCCACGGGCACAAGTTCAGCTGAAAACTCCTCAGATGTAGCTTGGGAATTTCTTAGCTTGATCATTGTTCAGGGTGAAAGATGAGTTAGAAACATGAGATTGTGCCACTGCAAATGCACTCTGATGTCCCTTTATTTGACCTTTCAGAGCTGCTCTGCTATGAGCAAACTAAGAGAACCTTTGCTTCTGGGCTCTGCTGTGGCTGGCTCAAACCTTAAAGCAAATTGGGTGTACACATGTGTGTAATAGAATGATTAAACTGAAGAGTGTCCAGAGTAGATTGTGGTTGTCAGCATGATGCCTTCACAATAATTACCTTGTGTTCACCAAACAGAACTCATGCAGACATGAGTGTGCTGTTGGAAGAGAATTAGAGTTTGCTTTTTTATGGGTTATGGGTTTGCAGGTATTACCTGGCTGCTCCGTTTCAGCCCCTGTTCTGCAAACTGAAATGTTTGGCAGGGCTAATGGGGTAAATTCCTTAATTGCAAACCTAATGATTTCAAAACTATAAAGCTTTCTTATTATGGAGCATTAAAAAGGGTTGATGGACAAGTTGTCAGTGATTGCTTATGTTGGATGGGAGTCTGCCACTTTGATTACACAGAGCTTACAGGAATGTCAGGCTCTCACGCTTGTGAAGTTTGGGTGGGTTTTATGGATTAGCTGGAGATGTTGACTTCGGATCCAAACCTGAACATGCCCACATGACAAAAAGCTGTCAAGTTTCCAAATCTTTGGCCTGTCTCAGCTGCATCTGAAGAATAGGCCCCTCTGTTTATCCACTTCGTGTATTGGACTGCTTGCTATGTAAGAATATTTCTGTTACAAAATTGGTCTTGATGTGGGCATGTGCTGTTTGAAAATTGAGAGAGATTAACCTTGGATAGACATATGGAACTGACTCCAGGCCTCCCGGGTCCTAGTCCAGATCCTGAGCTCTGTGATTGATTTTCTTCAGATGTTAAACCTTCAACATATTGGCTTAGATGCCTGTAGCAGAAAGACCTAGATGTTAAAAGTACTTCCAGTTTTGGAGGTGTTGGAAGGTGGAGTTTCTTCTCTTCCTGTAAGAGGAAAATTGAACAAGTCTGAAGCTTAAATTGAGTTATTTGGTTTGGATTTCATATCCACTTTAAGGATATTTGGATCTGATCCTCCGGTTTAGACCCATCTCCCTTGGAAACGTTAATGCAGTTTGGTGATAGCCTGGAGACATACAGTGTTTGGGAGATGGGCCAGGCGAATCTCTGGAGGACCACCACGAAGCGAGCTTTGGGAATCTGTCTCTGCAAACCTCCTTAGACAGGCCTGAGCATCTCTAATTTCAACAACCCCTGTTGTCAGAATGTCAGGCAATGGGTTTCCAATGAGATAGATTGGTAAACGTTTAAGGCAGTCGGAAATTGAGACAACTTGGCTGCTGCTTGGTGCTGTTTTATATAAAGCAGACTAACACAGGATTCCTTGCAGATAGTCTTTCTCCATCTCCCACTGCCTGAAAAGCCACATTAACACACACTGAAGAAACAGCTTCTGAAAACCTTGGTGTTCTGTGGCTGTATTTACACTGCAGAGAGCTGGGTCTCTGCCAGAAGCTTATGCAAACATCCAGTATCTTGGTTCAAACAGACAGGAACATGACAAAGCTCTAAAAGTGGTG